CACCAAGTTCCCCACAGTCCTCCACCAATGGTCCTTTGGGCCCCTCGCAGCTTCGTTTTCTGCCTCCCCACCCCCATCTCTGGTAGCCCCAGTTTTACAGTCAGATTTCTAGGGTTTGTTTGGTTTGGTTTTGTCTGACTCTTTATTTTGTTTCTCTATATTCCACACATGAAGGAAACCATCCAGTATTTATCTTTCTCCTCTGGCTTATTTTGCTTAGCATAATTCCCTCCACTTTCATCCATATTGTTGCAAATGACAAGAGTTCATCTTTTTTAATAGCTGTATAGAATTACATTGTATATATACATTGCCTGCTTTTCATTACATTCCCATTGCCCCGATTCTCCACTTTTATGAGCCTTATTTTAATCAAGAAATGAAAATATAATCATACATTATTTAGATAGCTGGAGACACACTGACCAGAAGTATTAAAAGCACAGATTTTGACCAGTATGTCTCAGATGTAGCCTGGGCTGGGGATGAGCTGGGATGCTGAGGTGATCGCAGCAATATGTTGATTTTCACTGTGGCCCTTCTGTGCTCTGGGCTTTTCTCTACTATGTAGGGTTTTATATCATTTTTTAAATAACATTTAATTTCCCTTTTTATCATACGCTTTGTATATATGCTGCCTCATATATTTAGATTCAGTAAAGTTCTAAACAAAAACACATACTTTATGTGTATGCTTTGGGAAATGTGAAAAAATATTTTGGAGTTAAAAAAAAACTTTGGTTTTCACCCCTCGTGGAAGAGAGCAAAAGAATCCACCCTCTTTCTCTCTTCCTTTACTCAGACCAAAAGCTGTCAGCTGGGTGCTGAGATGCCCACCAATCAAACAAAGCAGGGAGCAAATTGCTTCTCGGAGGGATTCACCACAGTAAAGAATTCGTCCTCATCCTACACCCATATACCTTGAGGTTTGCCACTTGATTGGCAAAATGTATTCCCAGATTAAGATGATCTCACTTAATGTATCTTGATTTTCCAAAGTGCAACTTTATACCACAAATGGTGTAATCCTTCCAGAGCAAGAAATGAACTCATCTTCACTTGAAAATTCCTCTGAGTGCTTGCTTTTGCTGAGAGGGAAGAAGTCTGAGGTTATTTGGTCATAAGCCAGGCTACAGCAGCCAGCCACTCCTGGGAGTGTGAGCAGAAGCAGGATAGCATAGTAGAAAGGCTCACTAGACGATCAAAACATTATTCTACCATGAGTTTAGCTTAACCTGAAAATCCATTTCCTCCTCTTTAAAATGGACATAATTCTTACCACATGCCATTGGTTAGGAGGGTAAGCATAATATAAAAGCCTGACATCTAGGAGCCAAAACCATGGTAGATTTTATTTTTATGTGATTGGAGCAGGGGTTTGGAGCATAATTTTGTGGGATGTAAAGGATAAGTACTGTTGTTTCATAAGCCTTCAAAAGTATAATTTAACCAACTCATATTCATTGGGAGTAACATACTGAGTCTTTTTACCAGGAGATGAATGCACCATCGTTTCGCGTGGAGAGAGATGCAGACGGGAGGATGCTTCTTCATTATTACTCTGATAGAAGTGGTCTGTGCCACATTGTGCCAGGTAAGGGGGTGTGTCCATGGCATCAGAGCTGTGGGGACTTCCTCAGAAATTCTCCAGGAAGGCATGTCGCTGGGGATAAGTGCATCTTTTAAGAAATTTGACTCTTCTCCATTTAAACCATAAACTCCCAAGGTCTTTGAACCTTGAAAGTAAGCTTTCAACGTGTCAAAAGGAGTTGTTTTCCTTTTTATTTCAACATTTGGAATTATGCAGGATATTCCATAGATGTGATAATAATGCATGCATTATTTTGTGTCAACAATTTGTATTCATCATTAAAAAAAAATAGCTTTGTCCATGTTTTCATAGAGTGCTTAAAACTACCATGGTCAATCCTTGAGTAACATTACATATTTCAAATAACAAGTCCTATGTGCTTGGACATTGAGTTCACATCGCTTCTTTGCATCTGAGTTGTGCTGTGATGAGCATCTTCATATCAAGATGCTTTCTCTGTGCTTTATACTGTAACTCTGGGGCAGATTTCTAGAGGAACTCTTTTTAAAACATGACCCCCCTGCAGCTTTCACAACTGAGTTTTGCTTGTAGTATTTCTAGACTTTGTTTGGTGAAATAAACTTCCTGAGGTAAACAGATGAGTTGATGTTTAACTAGAAGTTAAAGTGGCAGGGTTAGCTGGCATTTGGCAGGGACAGATCTCGCATCCAGTCACGCACGTATTGCTGAAATCTCTGCTGTTGATGTTTTTTTTTTTTTTTCATTTTTTTATCTGTCATATGCTGCCCATTTTGATGCAGGGCCTGGTATTGGTGAACCCTTGACTAATCGGCCATGTATGGTTTAATTGCTGACACCACTGCTCTCTGCCATCCCTCACACTAAGCATCCTTCTGTTGCAGGTATCATTGAGGCTGTGGCCAAAGACTTCTTTGACATCGATGTGACCATGGATATCCTTGACATGAACAAGGAGGAGGAGAGGACAGGCAAGAAGGAGCATGTCGTGTTTCTGGTGGTAGAGAAACCTCACAGACAGATGAGAAAGGCAAAGCCACAGAAGTTACAGGATGGAGAGGACATCCAGCGAGACCAAGAGGTACTGGGCTGGCTGTATCTTCAGAAAGCAGAGTTCCTCCTGGAGGTACTTCCTGTCTTAGAAAATGCAGAGAACAGCATAAGCTGGACCATCGAGTACTGGAATCAAAACAGCGCTTCTCAAGCTCAGCACTATTGCTAGTTTGGGCCATGTGATTCTCCACTGAGATGGTCTGTTCTGTGCATCTGCATAAATCTTCCCACCAACTGCTAGTTGTACCCTTCCCCATCCCCTCAGTTGTGGCCACCTGTATACAGCACAGCTGTATACAGTCAACCTGTATAAATAGTGCCCAGCTGTAGAAGTCAAACTATCTTAGGCACTGCCATGTGTCCCCAGGTGGGTGTGAGGTAAGAGTTCTCCTAGATGAGAACCAGTGGGTTAAGGCAACATGGATAATAGGAGGATTTGGGGACATACCTTAGCCTGGAACACATTTACTAATAGCAGTGCCAATAAAAAAGGGCTTGGGATTTGGCTTACTTTGTAATGCTCCTAGATTTTAAATTAGATTGACCATTCATGGTCCTTATGTCCACTTCTGCATCTGGGACCTGTTAGGAATCTGGAGCCAACACCTGACCCTGTGGTTGATTGCCTATTGTATCTTGTAGAGTGACCTATCTGCAGGTGCCACATAGGTTAGGGGCACAGCTCTTTGGTCCACAGAGTTTATACAAATATCCACATAAGTCTGTGACTCCTGTGATTTCAATGTTTATATCTTAGGATATTCTGCCCACCTCAGAGTCTCCTCACTGTTCACTACAGCCTCAGGAAGAGATGTAGATACATGATTTTCCTGACAGCCCTCTCGTGAGCATTTTTAAAAAATATTTTTTATGGCCCTCCCTGGTGGCGCAGCAGATTAAAGCACAGCACTGAGAAGCTAACGCCACTTCTGCATGAGTTCAATCCCCGCCTGTCCGGAGGTGACCACATGGCGTGGCAGACCTCTCCTGACCTGCCTGCTGCTCCCCTCAGCAGTGTACTCCGTTGATCTGCCTGTTCTGCTCCCCACTCTGTCTCTGATGAAGCCTCTCGCCGCTCCTGAGCCTCTGGCCTGTACCCTAGTTCTGTATGCACAAATAAATAAATCTTTTAAAAAAATATTTGTTTATGTATGCATACAAGAACTGGGGTACAGGCCAAAGGTGTGGTAGGTGAGAAGATTCACCAGAGACAGAGTGGGGAGCAGACCAGGCAGATAGGTTGAAACACCCTGCTGAGGGGAGCAGCAGGTGCACCAGGATGGGTCTGCCACTCCATGTGGGTCACCTCCCTGGCTGGGGACCAAAATTGTGCTGCAGTGGCTATGGATAGCTTCATAGTGCTGCGCTTTAACCTGTTGCACTACCAAGGAGGGCCCCCTCCCTTCAAATTTTGTGCAAAGGTCTTATGGCCTTTGGTAGAGGAATGTCATGAGGAGTCCTTAGGACATAGAAGTCTCAGGACATAGAGTCTTGCTACAAGTCTGGAAGGCTTCATCGTTCCTCTGGCTCCAGTCAGGGCAAATGGGCTTGTTCACCTCAGCTAATGACCAAGTCAATCACATGACCACACACATGACCAGTCACCTGACCAGACAGGGCTACTTCTCTCCCTGCCATCTTCAGGCCCTGGATGCAGCTTTCCTGAGAATGAAGGAGAAATACTTGAGTGTCTCTGTTTGTCCTGTGAAGAAATCCCACTGGGAAATTGTGAGAAGTATAGTCATGTTCGGAAAAGGTGAGTGGGGAGTCCCTTGGCCTCAGTTCTCAGAGCAGTTTGCTTGGTGCTGGCAATGACAAAATCCTCTCTGACTATGATGTTACGCATTTCTGCAGAGTATGGATTTGGCAGACCTAGCTTTTCACTTTAAAGTGTCACATATTACTTGCTCCCTTTATATATGTTGTCATCAAAGAAAGCCACTGAAGAGTGAAATAGAATCAGTCCCTATTGGCGGTTGGATTGAGAACTAGAACAATGAATTTTCCACAGCTCCTGTTCTGGATTCAGGTCTTCTAGAATGGCCTGAAATTCTGGGGATTTTAACCTCTGTGTCTAGTTGTGTAAAGAACACTGAGACAAGAGTCTAAAAAGAAGATTTCTAGCTCTGTCCCTAAAACGCAGGTGGCCTGGGGCAAGGTCTTCCAACTTCTACCTGGAAAATGAAGGTGCAGGCACCACTGTTAACTGTCCTTGTTGAGCTGCTCCGGCAATTAGCACCTGATACCTGGTTGGGTGGAGCAGCCCAGGCCTTCTGCTACAGAGCTCTACTTCCCGCCGCCCTCGCCCTCCGGTCAGGATGACAAGCCTCTGGGAGAAGGGTTGCAGTGCTCAAAGGGCTGCATTTTGAGTCCCTCAAGCCCTTGGCAAGCAAGTTAAACATGCAATTGACATCCTTTGTTTAGGAGATTTTCATATCAAAAAGGCTCCATTTCGAATTTCTACCCCCTGCCAAATAGGGCTGTTGGTTAAATTTTCATGTGCCACCCAAAACTGTCAGTCTAAAAAGCTCCATGGCAAATGTCCCTGACGCTGGGCTGGGCGCACACGCTCAGCTCTGCTAGCCCATTGTCTAGCTGTCACCGGCTCAATGCGACTCTGTTTTCATGGCAAGACGTACTCAATTGGCCCAGAAACTCTTCAGTGGCGGGCAGAAACTTGGCAGCGGGCAGAAGGGCTTCTCAACCTGGTAGCAAGTTTTCTGTTTGTTATAATTTTGAAAAAGAATTGCCGTGGCCATCTGGAGACGCCGAGGGAGCCCACAATAAAGAGCCAGGACTGCACTCTGCCTGTGAAACATTTCAGATGGGAGCCTAAGCTTGCTCTGTGCCAGGCTGGTGGTGCCGGGCACTGCCAACAGTGTCTCTTTCTCTACATCCAGGCTATCTCATGAACACCTTCACGCCGATTTATCCTGAGAGGCTCTGGATAGAAGAGAAGACATTCTGCAATGCTTTTCCTTTCCACATTGTATTTGATGAATCAGTAAGCAGTTATTTCCCTCTGTAATTCCACTTGGGGAGGGAGTATACTGTATAGTCAAATTTTGAGGCTGGTGGGAACTGTCAAGTTCCTGAGGATCACTCAGTGTTGTGACTAGCATTTAGCCTGGCGGGAGCTTTAACATCGTGGCATCCCCAGACACCAAAATGCAGGCTCTTCTTCATTGACATGGAAGAAGGAAGCCCCAAGAGGCTCAAATTAGTGGTGCCTGAGCCATTTTGCCATTAGAGAAAATCATTACATCAAGAGACAAAAAAAAAACCTCAGTGGCCATGGGAGGGGAGGGAAGGTTCTAAACATGCCTCCCCATCCTTGTGATCCCCATAGATGCCTCGCACCACCCTCTGTTTTCGCCTCTTGAAGGTAGAGCAGAGGTCTGTGCCAGCTCCTGCCACTCTTCTGTGGGCACTGTGACAGTGACCACTTAAGCCTGGTCATTACCAGTTTTCTGGATAAAATGTGTGTTAACTGACTTGCTAATAACTCATTTAAAGGGTCATTAAACAAAATAAATTTGGTCCAAAATGTCACTTAAAATACCTTCAATCCCTGGAATTTTCTCTGATATTTGAATGCCTAGACATGTTGATTCCCACCTACCTGTCGACTGCAGGATATAGATTCGATGGAAGTTTAGTCATCGGAGGTCCTACTCTGCTTCATCAAACCAAGGAAATTAAACAACCCTGTAAGAAATAAGGAGAATCGTACTGACTTTTCTCTAGAACCACAGTGATTATTCCTGCTTCTGATAATATTTTAAACACTGATCTACTTAAATACTCCCTTCATTCTTGAAAATTGGACATAGAATAACAGATAATTTAATGACAATTCTACCACAAGCTGAGGCTGATTTTTTTTTTAAAATATTTGTTCATTTATGCCTACAAACTTGAGTACAGGCCAGAGGTGCAGAGGTGGTGAAAAGGATTCACCAGAGACAGAGCAGGGAGCAGAACAGGCTGAATGATGAAGTACACTGTTGAGGGGAACAAATGGCAAGACAGGAGAGGTCTGCTGTGCCATGTGGATCACCTCCAGGGCTGGGGATCAAACTTGCACTAAAGCAACTACGGCTAGTTTGCAGTGCTGCGTCCTGACAAGATGTGCCACCAGGGAGGGCCCTGAGGTTGATTTTTTTAGCCTGACAGAGTACCCATTGTTAGTAATTTAAGTATTACTGGGTAGCCTGTGCTGGCATTGTAGAGTTTACATAAATAATGTTCATTTTACTCTACCTTCTGTGTGTTCCCTGGGGATCTATAAAAGATATCTGTCCAACATTTCATGACAGACAGGGTTGCAGAATTTGGGAGAGAGAGAGAGGGAGAGAGAAAGGAAGAAATGAGAGTTCTTTTACAAAACAAGTTTTAATCTTTGTTCCTTGCTAGTTGGGATGCTTTTTAGCTTGCCCAAATTATTATTCTCTTGCAGAGATTTGCTGCAGGTTTGATTTTTTAAAAAATGTGATTCCTTCCATGGTGTTTATCCCACCATACTCCCCTGTATTTCACAATGATGCTTGAAGGGAAGTTTATAATGCAGGTTGCTTTCTTATGCATACTCTCTGTGACTAGCTTAGGGTCAAGCAAGCTGGAGTGAATATTCAGAAGTATGTCCCAGGACTCCAAACCCGGAAGATTCAATTAGATGAGTATTTCTCCATCATTCACCCCCAAGTTACATTCAACATTTTCAGCATCTGCAAGTTTATCAACAGTCAGTTTGTCCTGAAGGCACGAAGAGAAATGATGCCCGAAGTGTGGAAGAGTCAGCCCACGCTCAAACTTCGAGGTACTAACTCACTCCGTTCCACCCCTAGTTTGAGGGAATGGTCAGAAAGGGAAGAGGCCCACTCTTTCAGTTTCCTCAAGAGAGTTGGGTTAGAAAGTGAGACAAAGCCTACATTTAAAACAGTTGTTTTATTCTGACATTTCAACTTGACTTGATCTATAAATAATGTATTTTATTTCTTCAACCATATTGAGTCTAGATGTAAATAGACTCTAGTTATATTTTTATAAAATTCTGGTGTCTATAACCCAAATGTCCAGGATACCTGTGGTACTATTAGTATTAATTTCATGCCTGTCCTTTATATAGCAATCTGATTATTTGCTCTCCTAGTAATGGAACACACATTTTAGTGGTGTTTTTTTTTTAATTATGATAAAATTTCTATAACATAAAATTTACCACTTCAACCATTTTTAGTGCACAATTCCATGGTATTAAGTACATGATTACTTAATGTTTATTATACAACCATCAATCATTATGATAGTTCTGCTCCAGACTTCTTATGTCTTGCAGAACTGAAACACTGTACCCCTTAAACACAGTCTTCACTCCCTACTCCACTGGCAACCACCATTCTGCTTTCTGTCTTTATAAATTTGACTATTTAGGTACCTCTTATAGTGGAATCATAAATATTTGTCCTTTTTGACTCTTATTTCACTTCAAGTTTCATACATATTCTAGCTTAAGTCAGAATTCCTTTGCTTTCTAAGGCTAAATCATTGTTATATTATTTTAATTATATTGTGTGTATATGTGTTTCTTATCCAGTCACTTGTTGATGGGCACTTGACTGCCTATACTTTTTGACTTTTGTGAATAATATACTATGACCCCATCTCTTTATATCCCTAGTTTTGACCCACTTTAGTAATATTCAAAAATATTTAATGGAAGTGTTGGATTATGTAATTCTATTTTTAAGCTTATTGTGAAACCTCTGTACTGCTTCCCATAGCTGCCCCCACCATTTTACTCTCCATCAGTGTTGCCGAACCTTCCAGTTCTTTTACATCCTCATGAGTACTTATTATATTTTATTGGTATTAGTTTTTGTTCCTAAAGAGAAATTCCTAATGGGTCAGGAATACTATCTCACAGTGGTTTCGACTTGCACGTTTCTAATTACTAGTGATGGTGAATATTTTTCATGTGCTTATTGACATTTGTATAAATCTATTTGAGAACGAGCCATTCAAGTCCATTGCCCACTGTTTCTTTGTTGGTGAATAAAGGAGTTCTTCAGATATATCAGCTATAGAGTTGCCTTTTCATTCTGTGGACTGTGTCCTTTGTTGTACAGATGCTTTCTATTTTGGGTGTAATCTATCTATTTTGTCTTTTGTTGCCTAGTCTCATCCAAAAAATCATTTCCAAATAGTGACATGAAACCTTTTTTATGTTTTCTTGTAAGAGTATTATAGCGTTTGCTTTTAGAGCTATTAGAGTTTGTTTTATCTTTTGGCATATTTTGAACCATCTTTTCATTAGGCCTACTATTAGATCTCCCAGACAACAGCACAGGCTGAGCTGTAGAGCTCTCTGAGAGGAAAACAAAATGTTCACAGAACCCTGAGTCAGTGGTAGAGTGGAGTGTTGTGAGGGAAGATGGCAAGATGGGGACTTGAATGCTATCATGCACTTGGATAGGTTTTTAAATGTCCACAATGATCAGAATATTGGTTGAGAGTGATCAGCCTAGAGGCGTGTGAAGTGTAGTGGAAGGATGATTGGGAGACCTGGGAGCAGTTGCCACTGAGATGCAGAGGAGAAGACTTACGGGCTGGGATATGATCAGGGAGGAGACTCACAAGATTATTAAGGCAGAAATTGGTCACTGGGCATAGGGGTTGAAAAGGAGTAATATTTGGGATAATTAATAACTTTCCTTGTTAATTAACTGGTGTTGATGAGGTTTGATTCACTGAGAAAATATATGATGTAAATCCATTGAGTGCAGGAACTTTTGTCAGTTTGAGTCATTGCTATATCCTTAATAACTGAAATTGTGTGCCTAACACATAGTAAGGATCAAATATATATATGTGATAAAAGTGTTAATAAAGAAATAGAAGATTTTCAGAGGGGACTGAAGGTGAGTTCATGTGCAGATATCGATGTACAAATACTTAATTAGTAATGGGGGAAAAATCACCATTGATAGGAGTATAAGTTGTCACATTTGAAGGCAATTTGGCAATATGTCTTAAAATATCTAAACATGAGTATATTATTTAAGTAATCCCATATCTAAAGATATATCCTTTAACAAAATAACCTTGATTATATACACTGACATCTCAAGTTTGTCAATTGTAGCATTGTTTACATAATGATAAACTAGACATGATCAATTCTGGTTTCTTGTTTAAAGAAAATCGAGTATAATCAAAGAAACCAGGGGGAAATGATGCAATTTCTATATTTAATGCTATGGGAAAATATCTGTTGTGTATTTTAAGTAAAAAATTCAAACTATAAAAGGGAAGCACCAGATATCCACATCAGGGGTATAATTATCAGTGTAGTATGATTATGAGTGATTCTTATTTTTTTCACTTTTTAAATTTTCTGCAATGAATGTGTACTGCTTTTATAAAAAGATAATAAGCATATCTATTTTTTCAAGAGACATGTATCTTGAGGCCAAGAAGCAAGGTTTCTTTGCAAATTCAGTTTCATTGGCAGCATTGTGTTAGTGTAGGATGCAAGTATGAGATGCAAAAGAATACAAGACACCATATTTTAGGAAGAAGCAAAAAAAAAAAAAAAAAAAAAAAGTAAAAAGAAAGGACCAAAAATATACCAAACCTAAAGAAAAGAAGTAGGGTAGGTCTTTCTCAGAGAGAAAGCAGAATCAGGTGAGTCCCCAAAAGCAAAGTTTTGGGGAGGGGGGACTTGCTTAGCACCATCAACAACAGAAAGACAGAGTAAAGAAAACACCGACAGATTGGTGTTAGAGTAGGTAGCTTGAAGAAAGAAAAGCAGCCATGGAGAGAGCAAAGTGGGAATTGGGAGAGCTGAATACATAGAAGTCAGAAGTATAAGTAACTTCTATGCAATTTAGGTTAAAGGGAAGAAATGAGACTGCAGGGGTAGAAAGCATGTTGTGTGTGTGGGACCTTGGGTGGGAGGGAAAGGGGGGCCAGTTGGCAAGCGAGCCTCATCTACCTGCGATACGCTATTTTGGTGCTCTTTCTTTCTGTGCTGGGAAGGCCAGATGATCTGGATGGAGTCCATGCGGTGCATGATATACATGTGCTCCCCAAAGCTCCGCAGCCTGCAAGAGCTGGAAGAACGGAAGATGCATCTTTCTGATATCGCCCCCCATGACACCACGCGGGATCTCATCCTCTTAAACCAGCAGCGATTGGCTGAGATCGAGTTGTCCAACCAGCTCGAGAGGAAGAAGGAGGAGCTGCGTATCCTCTCCAAGCACTTAGCCATAGAAAAGAAGAAAACAGAGACCTTGCTTTATGCCATGCTGCCTGAGCACGTGGCCAACCAGTTAAAGGAGGGCAAAAAGGTCGCCGCAGGTGAGGCAGTCCCTACCCTTCACAGCCTCTGAGCAAGAAACAGTGTGCTTGTGTGGGTAGCGGCACAGCCTGTGAAACCAGACAGACCTAAGTTTGAATTGTGGCTCCGTTCTTTGTTAGCAACGTGATCGTTGGTTAATTACTTAAGTTGAATATCTTCATTTTCCCCCGTCTACACTGAGAATAGTAAACATAAATAGGAGTGAAATACGGGTTAAATTAACTGGCCTGTCTACCCCTGGCCCCCTCTCACACATGTACTGTGTTAATTATAAGGACATGTGTTGTATTTTCCAAGGATTTAAAACTGTGTCCTGAGACTGGCTTCTTTGCTCAGGGACCATGAATAGGGGTCTTCACTGTAAACCTGAGTGTTAACTCCCACATTAATGAAATCATGGAGTACCTCTAAGGATCATTCTGGAGGACCACCTCTTTCTGGAGGGAAGACGTCACATTCACTCCTTATCACTTTCCATTTGTCTTAGGCGTGTGTTCATTTACCAGACTGTGTGGTGAACTCTAACCTGCTGGAGTGCTGACCTAGATCCTGGGGACCCAAAGGGGTTCACTGCCCAATGGCCACAGAAGGAATTAATAGGGAGGAAGCAGCCAACGGGCACTTGAATGTGGAGTTCATAGAATTACTCTCTATATGTCTGGCTATCACTGACACCTGGTTTATGTTGCAGGAGAATTTAAAACCTGCACAATCCTTTTCAGTGACGTGGTGACATTTACTAACATCTGTGCTGCCTGCGAACCTATCCAAATAGTGAATATGCTAAATTCTATGTATTCCAAGTTTGACAGATTAACCAATGTCCATGATGTCTACAAAGTAAGTATATCTGGGGTGCATGTCTGTGTCAGGGTGCTTAGGCAGGCAGGTGCTTGCCATGGGTCTTTCTTGCCTCTCTCTTCACTGTGTGTGGGTTGATATGGATAGGAGTGGGGTGTGGAGGAAGAGCTAAAGGGAATTGGAAGAAATTTGGCAATTATTTTATAAAACCCTGTGCTACGATGTCTTGGAGAAGCCAACACTGTTTATCCAGAGCATAATTCTACTTTTTAAATTCAGGAGAGAGTCTAATCTAAGTGACATATACCCACTATATTGCAACATATAACTATGCTAGGGAGCTTCATCTTCTCTGGGTTTTATTTCCTCCAAAAGCCAGAATTCCATTGGCCCTCTAATGTTGGTTCTTGAGAAATTTTCTTGTAGCTGCCTCCCTCTTACTTCTTACACCACTAACAGCTTTAATATGATTTCTGTCAATAAGTAGAAAGTTAAAGATATTATTTAGTGTGATATCTTCAGTAAGCTAGGATTTAGAATCCCCCTGAATCCCTTTTTTCTTCCCTTGCAGGTGGAAACAATAGGAGACGCTTACATGGTGGTGGGGGGCGTGCCAGTTCCTATTGGAAGTCACGCTCAAAGAGTGGCTAATTTTGCGTTGGGGATGAGACTTTCTGCAAAAGAAGTGATGAATCCTGTTACTGGAGAGCCCATTCAGGTAGATCTTAATGGCACACTTCGCTTAATACCAACTGTCTCACAGAAATAAGTAAAATTCTGTTTATCCGTCATCTCAGGTAATTGTTGTTATGTGAATAATTGCAATGGGTAATTTGCAACGTTCTTTCTCTTCTCTTGCCTATGTTGCTAAGTAATAGAGATATTAGTCCAGATAACATTGTCCCAACTTCTCTCAAGTTTCAGAATAGGTTTTGGAGTTGGGAACTTTTTGTGAATGCCTCTTTTGTCCAGAATGCGGGACAGGGCTGAGTGTCTCCTCACTTAGTTTGTGGGACTCAATCCACCTTGGAAGTCGGCCATTGATAATTCTTGTTTTCTTGTTCAGTCATTTCAACAAGTGGCTCAGACTTACTAAATAGCTAACTTTTCATCTTTTAAGGAAACTGTATATCCAACATGCTGTCTGACAGGTTCAGAACTCAGGCTGAGGTGTGAAAATGCTGCCAGCCAGCAGGCTAGACACCATGGTGCCATAAGATATTCATAGTAGCTTTCCTTCCAGCATGGCCGTTAGTGGGACATCTGCTCGCCTCTCTCACAGGAAGCTGCTCTCCCAAGTTTGGAAGTTTGTTCACACTGTAAAAGTCAGACCATTTTGGAAATTAAGGGCAGGGGTTTTCTTTGGTCTGCTCAGCAGATTCCAGGCATCCCAAGAGGGCAGCACTCTGCCTTTCAATATCAAAATGACTTTCCTGCACCTGTCAGTCACATACTCGAAATAAACTAAATAACCAACTAAAAATAAAGTCAATTGTAAGGTGGAATATTACCAACCCAATTATCACTGTTATGCAGGAGATTCTGCAAATGGGTATGCTCACCACCACAGCCAGCAGCTGGGGCCCTGGCTACTATGTCCTCTGTAGCCTTCAGAGTAAAAGCTAACTTTAGGTAATCGCAAGAGCAACATGTCCATGGATACTTCATCTCTTGTACATGAAAATGAATAAAACTCTAAGTAATAAAAAAATCAAGATGGGAGGCAATGAGGTAAGAGGTACGGTACATAAGAGATGTATTAGTTTAGTGACTATAATATCATCCACTGAAGAAAAAAATTGAAAAATATATCGTGTAAAAAGTACGTATGTATATGTGAGAGTATGAAAGAGACATGGCAACAGAGTGGGGGAGACACTACATCGACAAGACAGATAGTAAACGATGGAGATTTTCAAACTGAATTTACCAAGAAGAAAACAGGATAAGATGCTTTGAAGTCTAAGGATAGGGATGTAGCTAGCAGCATCATACATCTACCCGAAATAGTATACCGTCTGGATTTATTTAAGGAAGTAGGGAAAATGACTGAGAACATTTTCATTCTTAAGAGAATTATACTGCCTTGTTACAAATTTAAAATTAGTACTCTTTGAGATTCTTGATTATTTCATTTATACACTCTTCAGTATACATATACTATGATATTATTATGCATGAGACAGAGACAGTATCACTAAATGCTTTCAAGGATTAAGAGAAATATATTACAGGCTCCTTTTTCTAGAGGGATTTATAGTGTTATTTCAAGGAGAAGATCAAGCATGAAAAGACAGCTAAGTCTCTCTAGGATATAGATAGTTGCAAGAGAATGCTGTTCCCATACTAGTGATTTTTTTTTTTTTTGCCCCAGACCCCGCCAGAGAGCATATAAATGCAAATGAAATAAATTTCAAAAAGTGACAAGATTTTTCAAGGAGCATACCCATAATTATGTTCACCCCGAGTAGAAAAATAATCCATTGAGGTGAGGGTGAAAAGAAAGGAATCTAAATTTTAGTGAACTTTAAAAATATAATTTGTTTGCATATATTTTACACCATTGTTCATTTTTGTACAATGTTTGCTTTCTTCTCTCAGGTGTAGTCCCCATAAAATTCCCACCACCAGTTCACCCCTGCACCATCACCATAGTCCCTTGTGCTCTCCTGCCTCCCTGCAGAATGTCTCTGATTTATAGTTGCCTGTTTATTTTTAAAAATTTACCATTATT